TCCGTACTATTGGCAAAGAAATTGTTAGGCATCTGTTACCGACCTGAAGATAATACCATTCGAAGGCTTTTAAATGGAAAGATAGTTGGCTACACCTACGAGGCGCAGAACGTCCCGTGGCTCAAGCTAGCAGCCCCACCCATAGCCGCTGCAGCCAATGAGATTGAATACAGCCTTCTGCACCGACAATTAGGTCATATCTATCACGTTCGCTCAGGCAAAATCAAAAGATATGGTAGCATTTGGAAGGAATACTAAGTCTAGAAAAGAGGAAGAAAAAGTATGTACACAGAGTAGAAAGATATCACAGAGCAATAGTGTAAACAGATCAAACTTCCAGAAGTGGTAAGTGAGGTGACAAAGGATGGTTATGAGAGATGGTGATGGGCCGTCACATTACCCCCCCCTTTAGGCCCTGGATGCCCTCATTCGGGGATGATCATCGTCAGGGTGATCAGGCAGATACTCATCATCCTCAGCTGCTTGAAGCCATTCCGGTAGGCGTAACGGGGGCCCCGGCAGGTCCGGATATCGCGCATGGAAGTCGCGAACTAATCGCGGGGAATTCCTGAAGTTCCGCGCTGGATACCATGTAAGATCCAGATCATGTCCTAACCATCTGACGCGATATTGAAGCTTCTTATAGTGTAGACGAGAAGCTAGTATCTCTTGCACTTCCCATTCCTCCTCACCGTCAACCTCCATGGGCGGCGCAGGATCCTGGATCTGACCTGGCAAAGGAGGGGAGGATGCGGCCTTGCGCAGCTTCTCTGGGGCAAAGATGGGATGGACCTTGATTGAAGGGGGTAGATCTAGCTTATAGGCGTTGCCAATTCGTTCAAGGATGCGATACGGGCCCGCGCACTGGTCAGCGAGCTTACGGCTTGGTCTGGCAACCGCCCAATCCGCTGTTATGACGAAGACATGGTCTCCCACATCGAAATCAACATCGCGACGGTGCTGGTCAGCAAATTTTGACTGCTTATCTTGCGCCGCGGCCATACTCCGGCGGGCAAACTCCCATATCTCTTCCATCCGCCGTGCGAACTGCTGGGCCTGCTCTTGGTTGACATCAAGTCTGGATGGCGGCGTGGTAACGGACCAATCAAATGACGTACGCGGTTCGAAACCTCGTTCCATAAAGAACGGGGACAGTCTGGTAGACTCGCTCGGTAGGGCGGCTGCAGCAAAGTTCAATATAGGTAGCCATTCATCCCAATCATCCTGGTAGTGGTTCACAAAGGGGCGTAATCGTTGCGCGATCCATTGATTCATAACTTCTGTTTGTCCATTGGTTTGCGGGTGATAGCCAGATGAGAGCTTAAGGCGGATTTGCAATATACGGCAAAGCTCATCCCAAAATTCCGAGACAAACTGACCTCCACGGTCCGAAATGATCGTTTCTGGTAGTCCTGTCCATAGATAAACATGGGTAAGGAAGAGACGGGCCATTTCTGTGGTAGTAATGGTCTTCCGACATGGAATTGCGACAGCCCGCTTCCCTAGACGGTCTACTACAACAAAAGCAGCATCAAATCCGGTCTTTGAGCGGGGGAAGGAGCGGAAATCCATAGTGATATGCTGCCATGGCTTGTCCGGAATTGGTAATGGCTGGAGCAGGCCCGGCGGCAGGTCTCTCCGTGTCTTTATACGCTGGCATACTAGACAGTTGTCAATATATCTGTCAACATCCTGTCTCTACTTGGGCCAGTAGTATCAGCTCCGGAATAGCTGCTTAGTCTTCAACCTTCCTGGGTGTGCTGTAGAGGGCTGACGGTGGATATCATCTAATAGATGTGCGCGGAGATCATTCACGTCTGGGACCACCAGTCGTCCGCGGAAGAGTAGGGAATCATTAGCATTGACTGTCCACTGGTCATGCCCCTGACGAGTGAGCTCCCTCATTGGTCGCAGGCTCTTATCTGTCCGATTTGCCAGTAGAATTCGGTCTACTATTGTCGGTACTGAATTCGGCACGATAGGGGCCAGCACTCTCGGGTCATAGTTCTCAGGCTTCAGTACCAGCTGAACTCGGTGATCATTCTCCTGGGTTGGGACCTCGGGCCGAGATAAGGCATCAGCTAAAGTGTTAAGTCTTCCTGGTCGATATGCGATTTGAAAACGGAAACTGGAGAGGAACTCGTTCTAATGGGCCTGGCGGGGGTTGAGCCGCTGCTTCTGCATGAAGTACTGTAGTGCTTGGTGATCTGTCAATATCTTGAAAGGGTCAGATCGCTGGAGTCCTTGCAGTTCCGCCCGCCATTCTTCCAGCGCGCGGATGATGGCCAGTAGCTCCCGATCATGTATGCTGTAATTCTGTTCCGCAGGGCTCATTGTCTTTGAGTAGTAGGCAATTGGGTGCCACTCCCTCCCTCGTAACTGAGAGAGGACCCCTGCAACGACGCCATTGGAAGCATCAGTCTCTAGTTTAGTGGGTAACGCAGGATCGTAGTGGGCCAGGATAGGCGCTTCTGTTAGGGCCACCTTGAGCTGCCTAAAAGCCAGCTGACAGCTCTCGGACCAGATGAAAGGAGTGTCCTTCTTAGTCAGCGCAACCAAGGGCTTCGCTAAACGGCTGTATGCATGTATGAATCGTCGGTAGAAGTTGCAGAAGCCTAGGAAGGATTGCACTCCTCGGACTGTTGCAGGTGCCTTCCATTGCTGAATCACAGCAATCTTCTCTGGGTCCACCTTGATGCCTTTAGTAGAGATGATGAAGCCTAAATACCGCGTCTCTGTAACATGGAATTCGCATTTCTTTAGGGAAGCTTGTAGCCCATGCTCTCGCAGTCGTTGCAAAACAGCCCTTACATGTAACTCATGATCCAGGGCGTCATCGGAATAGATCAGGAGGTCGTCAATATACGCTGTCAGGTACTCATCCAGGCAATCCATGAAGATGCTATTGACAAAACGCTGAAAGGTGGCAGGCCCGTTAGTCAGTCCGAAGGGCATAACCTTGTATTTAAAACTGCCATAACGGGAGCGGAAGGTTGTGAGATCCTCCGAGGCTGGATCCATCCGGATTCGATGGAACCCCTGCCGTATATCCAGTTTCGTGAAGATCTTTGCTCTGGAGATGCGCTCCAGAATCTCATCAATTAATGGCAAGGGGTAGCGGTCCTTTCATGTGATAGCATTGAGCTTCCTGTAATCAACGCAGAACCAGAGGCCCCCGCCTGGCTTCTCTGCCATGAGAATAGGGGACGCGAATGGCGCACTACTGGGCACTATGAACCCCTTATAAAGGTTTTCCAATATGTATTCCCGTGCGGCCTCCAGCTCCTCCGCATTCATCTTATACAAGGGCCCATATCCCACGTTGTTGTCCTGCTCCAGTTCCACCCTATGGTCAACATCACCGCGGTAGGGGGGTAGCATGTCTGATTCCTTTTTTGAAAACACATCTGCAAAGTCATGATAAGCTTCCGGCAAGGCTCGCTTGATCTCACTTATCTCATCAGTATCTGGAGTGCCGGAAGGGTCTGGTTGCTGATCAGTTGTTGGAGGGAAGAGGGATTGGACTGCAATCATTAACTGCTGAGAATGGGAAGGAGGGTGTTCAGCGCATCTTAGTTCGATTATCTTATCCAATTCATGCAAGGAAGTGAGGAAGATCGTAATATTCTTCTTGCGGGCGTAGCGGTGGAAGGCTACTGCTCCGACGGCTGCAATATCCACCGTAATCTTCCGCAGGGGTGAGGGGGGTTGTTGGATTAGGATAGGTTCGGGTTCCCTGCCATGCAAGGCTCGATTCATTTTTATCTCACCGTGTCTTCGGTCCATGTCTTCTGTTCGCGGGGGTTTATATCAGGGGACAACTTCAGGGACATCTTTCTCAAGCTGACAACTGATCTTATTTCCAGAACTCCTGGCAATCATATGGGGAGCTTTGCGGAATCTGACATTCCGCCGCTGCAGAACGGAGCGTTCCCTGTTAGATGTAGGGGAAGAGGCAGTATTAACTCCGGTGGAGTAGCCCCAGGGTGATGGGGGAGGAGTCAGAGGCAGGTATTCTCTTGGGCGTTGATTAGAGGGAGGCCGAGGGACCTCCTGATTCAGATGTATGGCGACCTCTTCCTGGTAAGGGGCTGGCGTCGGCCAGATTAACTGCTTCTTCGCGCAGTCTACTAGTATCTGGCATTCAGCTAACCACATGCGTCCCAGTATGATATCATGCTGACCAAGGTCCAAGATTAAGAAGGGCATTCCACGCAGTATTCGACCGTCCAGGGCTAGGGTCAGCATAATCACATGTGTGAGAGGGATCGACTGCTTCCCATCGAATCCGGTCACGGCGTATTCTTCTTCCAGGGGGGTGGTAGGGATTCTAAACCGCTGGGAAATGCAGATGGCAAGCGGCGTGGATATACAAGCGTAAGCATTTGCTCCAGTATCGATTAGTGCTTGCGTAGATACGGAAAGGCCATTGACTAGGACGTGTGATTCCATTGAGAGACTATCTTTTTCGTGTCCTAAAAGATTCCGTAAGTCTAGACTGCACATATCGATTCTTGTTCTGCCCAGGAAGGAGACTTCTCCTAGGCTTCCTTGTTTTCCGACTGTGGAGTTGGCTCAGCAGCTCCCTCCAGTATCTTTAACTGCATGGTTTGCTTGGTAGGGCAATCACGACTGGTATAGCCCACCTGGAAGCACTTGAAGCATTTGCCCTCAGCCATTAGGCGCTTCCGAGTATCATCATCGAGGATCTTGGGGGCAGGAGAGGAGGTAGCTGTTCTTCCACGCGTGTCTGGGTTATTAGGCGGGCTGGTAGCCGCAGCAGGGGTGGTAGCACGAGTAGAAGAGGAAGGTCCTGCTCCCCTGGGTCGACCATTTATTCCACCATTGATTCGGGCCTTGATCCGTTCCATATTCTCAATGTTTGTAGTGGTACGGCTGCAGTAGTCAGTAAATTCCCGGAATGTCTTGTCGTCGTCATTATAGGCAGGCATCGTCAACTCTTGCATGCGTAGGGAAAGCTTGTTGTACAAATCATCTTTCTAGGAGTCTTCTGGAACTCCTGCCTCGGCTGCAAGGTAAAGGAATTCTGAAATGAAATCATTCCACTTGGTAGAGGGCTTCATATAGAGAGTATTGTACTTCTGCTTCGCAACTCTCTCACGATTTGGGTCCGCGAACACGTTCTCGAGGTGCTTAAGGAGATCAGTGGCATCCTGGTATGGGTTAACAGCATTTTCGCGGAGACGAGGGGTGATGTGCTTCCGGGCATTGCCCTCAGTCCGGCTAGTGATGTAGGTAATTCTCATCATGGGGTTTGGGTAGTGATCAGCATTCGCCTGAAGCTTTTGCTTTATGGCTAGTAGCCAATCTTCAAAACGGGGATCCTTCCCATCGCTGAGGAGAGGGGGGTCTGGAATCTTTGCCGACTTACCACTGGCGGCCGAGGCCTGGGAACCAGTGTTTCCTGCGCTAGATCCACGGGCTACTTGCAGGGCAAATTCGTTCCGTTCGCGGGTAATCTCTTCCAGTCTGGTCTGTATCTCCTCGCGTACGACGTTGACAGCGTGTAGCTGATCCAGGGTCTGATCACGTTCGATAGTAATCTGTTCTTTCTGGTCCTTAAGGGTATCCACCTCGTTCTGGATCTCGATAAGCTGCTCGTTCAGGAGGGTCGCTTCGTCACGGCATAGGGTAGCCTTTGCATCCAGGTCAGTGTAGATGCGGATAATGGCTTCCCAGCAGCGGACAGGGTCTGTCTGCCAGTGAGCAGTGAATTCTTCGTAGGAGATACTTTCTGCGAGTTCGTTGGTGTCTTCATTGAATCCTCCATTCTTCGTCTGGCTAAGTAGTGCAGTCAGACGTCTAGAGAATCTGCAGGCAGGCTCAGCGCGCTGTTCTTGGTCATTCTCATTTTGAGATTCGGTTCGATTCTCGGGTCCAAGAGGGGTCTCGTTAGGTCTAGCCATGTCAATTCGTTCGTCAGGTTCATCCAACCGTTTGGCGTCGTTGGCACGCAGGGTGAAGAGATCTCGTTGAGAGAGGCAGATCGGTGCTTAACTCGTCAGAGAAGCGCGTTTTTTAGCTGGATCTTAACTTTCTCGTTGAGAAGGAAGGTAAGGAGGAAAGAGACTTAGTATTATATCACATTCGCTCAGGCAAAATCAAAAGATATGGTAGCATTTGGAAGGAATACTAAGTCTAGAAAAGAGGAAGAAAAAGTATGTACACAGAGTAGAAAGATATCACAGAGCAATAGTGTAAACAGATCAAACTTCCAGAAGTGGTAAGTGAGGTGACAAAGGATGGTTATGAGAGATGGTGATGGGCCGTCACAATATCAGCGTTACGAAGATGGCCTCAACTCTCAGGCACAACGGGGAGTTCCAAATCTATCAAGATTCAGATCCACACTGCCCCCCCATGCCAATTGGGTAAGGCACAGAGAATTGTTAGCCAAGATCCAATGCCGCGAGCCAAACATGCTGGTGATGTCATTCATTTCAATATATTCAGCTTTGGTGGAGAAGGCATTCACAGTTATCAATACTACCTCCTCCTATTGGACGATAAGACTCGCTTAATCTCACTTAGCCTGCTGAAGAACCGCAAGAATAAGGTTAAAGATAACATCATCGCTTATGCTAAGTCAGTCAAGAACTAACGCGGCAAATATCCAATCAAATTCCATGCAGATAACATCAGAGATCATTTCCAGGCATTTGATTGGGCAAGGACGAAGGGAATCGCGGTAGATCGAACCGCTCCTAGATCACCAGAACAGAATGGACCAATCGAACGCTGCAGCGGAATCGTCACCCAGATGGCCCAAACTATGCTCATTAATTCCGGCTTACCGAAAGAGCTATGGCCATACGCAATAGATACCGCCGTTTATATATTGAATCGATTGATTCCGATTGGCCAGACTAAATCTCCATTACAGCAATGGCGCGAAGCGCTTAAGCTGCCCAATCCAGTGCCTTCGCTAAGGCACGTACAAATTTGGCGATGCCTCACTTATCGACATATACCCATTGAAGATCGAGCTAAAGGCCAGAAATGGCAACACCACGCCAAAGTAGGCCATCTGATTAGCTATGAAGGCGATCATGGCCATATCTACGTCATCTGGCATCCAGAAACGAATAAAATAAAACGAACACGGGATGCTGTATTCCATGAAGGAAGAAATGACTACCCCAGACCAGCAGCTGGAGATGATCTAACAAAACTGATTGGACCGTCATTGCCGAAAGAGCCGAGAGGCCCTACCATGATTCTGCAGGGAGATAGGCGCAAGCAAAATGCGGGGAAGAATCTCCTAGCTCTGCCACCTCCTCCAGATTATATAACTGGGAGAATCCAAACTATTAACCCGGATGCTGAGCTGCAGCAATCAATACAGCTGCAGATTCAGGGAGTTGATGACCATGTCCAGATGACAGGCGATTTTACTAGCAATCTTGGACAGACAGAAGAAGTCTACCAAACCATTGAAATGGACACACCTGATCCAATAGCATTGCCTGCAGAGCAAGCATTTCCAGCTGCATACGCCGAAGAGCAACCAAGGCGAATCTCATCCAGATCAACTAAGGGCAAGAGCCCTGCTCGCTTAGGCGACTGGCAAACGGCTCAAGCCGCCATTACGCAAGAACCTTATTTCGATGACAATGAATCAGGCTATGGCTTAGCCCTCTTCGCCGCGCCTATCCCTCATAAGATCAAGGGACATGAAGTCAAGATACCAACAAGATATGATTAAGCAATCCAATCACCGCAAGCAGATCACTGGATAGCCGCTATGGAAGACCAAATAGGTAAATTAACCAAGAAGAACACCTGGGAGGTCGTTAAGCGACCATCTAACGTCACACCACTTCCGGGGAAGTGGGTCTACGACCTCAAATTAGACGCCAACGGCTATATCAGCCAATACTGAGCAAGATGGGTCGTCTGCGGCAACTTCCAGAAGATAGGGCGTGATTTCGATGAGGTCCACGCGCCGGTTAGCACTGAATCGGCTATTAAGCTTGTTCTCTTGCTTATCGCAATCTGGGACCTAGAATGGGAACAATTCGATGTAACCGCCGCTTATCTACATGCCGCTCTGGGGAAGCGCCAGATCTATATGCGCCAGCCAATAGGCTTCGCCGTTGAGGGAGATTGGGTTTGTTGACTGCGGCAAGCTCTCTATGGCCTCCGCCAATCAGCTTACCTCTGGCACCAGACCTTTACCAAAGTGATAAAGAAGCTGGGCTTCACCCCTTTGCTCAAGGACCCCTGCGTTTATATGAAAGGTTCAAAGATGTTCATTCTCCTATACGTTGACGACGGTATAATGGCTGCAGAGAGTCATAGCCTCCTGAATGAGATCAAACAAGGCCTCAAGAAAGATTTCGGCCTCAAAGAACTAGGGGAGCCAACTAGATTTCTTAGCTGCAAGATCACCAGGAATCAGGCTAAGCGAACGATTAGCCTATCACAAGAGCCATACATCCAGAAGATTCTGCACGATGCAAAGATGACCGATTGCCATGCAGTAGATCTACTAATAACCCCCGGCTGGCAGCCAACCGAAGATGCCGATCGAATCAACGAATTCGCTTATCGGCAACATACCGGCAGAATCAATTGGCTAAGCGTCAAGACAAGGCCAGATCTGACCTATGGAATCGGCAGATTGCAAAGCCAATCCAAACCAAACACTGCCGACTTAAGCACAACCAATGAGATCTATAGATACCTCAAAGGTCACCCCAATCTAGCGATAGAGCTAGGCGCCTCGCCCAATCAGAAGCTAATTAGCTACGTTGACTCATCGTTCCAAGATCAGGAGAACGGCAGATCTACTGAGGCGTATATCTTCTTCTTCGGTGGAGCACTGATCTCATGGAGTAGTAAGGCTCAGCCAATCGTTGCTCCCTCATCTACGATTGCCGAATACGTCGCGTTTGATGGCGCGGTTAAAGAAGCCATGTGGCTTAAGCGATTGACCTCCGCGCTTGGAATCAAAGATGATTCACCAGTTCCAATATGGACCAATAGCAGCAATGGACTAGATATCTTACGGAAGCCGGGATACCGATCTACTACCAAATGGATTGATAATCGCTATCATTTCGTCAAATGGGCGGTGGATCAAGGCAGAATCACCTTACATTGGATATCGGGGACAGATAACGTCGCTGATTGGCTGACGAAACCGCTAGTGAAGGCGGCATTCGAAGGGTTTAGGGCACGAGTGCTCGTAACCACCTAATGGAATGTAGATATTGCCTATTTAGGAAGTTAGATAGACCTCAACGCCAGCGTGCTGAGGGGGCCGTGTCGTAGGGTCACGTGACCTCTACTACCTTAGTCAGCCCGCTGCCCCTATCTCATCGCTGGTTAGGCCTCCTAGCTAGGGAATCCAACCATCTCAGTGCTACGTCAAATACTATTATGATGCTTTCCGATGTATTGTGTTGCCAGAACTTTCCACGCCACAGGCATGGTATGGTGACTTGTCAACTCAGGCAAACTGAAAAGAGGCATCGGTCACGTGGTCTAATGTTGATACCAGGCGATGATTGGTCAGGTGACCGTGGCCTTTGAGCAGCATTTCACAAGAATTTGGTTAGTACTAACGTACTATTCACTTTCCCACAGTCGTTTACATCCAGCCAGGGCATATCCAAAACCCCGTCCCCTCCTTCTGTCGGCGCCCATCGCAAGCCTTTCGGCCGCCAGCCCACCGATTCGACTATCCCTCCAGGTTCTTCCCACTACCACCACCACAATACTGCGACCGCCTTCCCACTTCTACGCCATTCAGCATGGCTAGTGGTTCTAGCACTGAACTCATGACGTACGTTGGCTACCTTTCTCTGGAATTACAATCACGTTGACCAAGTGCCGTCCAGGGACGAGGAATATAAGCAGAAAGTCGAGAATTCAGTTGGGCCCGTTGTGGTCACTTTCCTTTCCCCGTTGGACGACAAGTGCAAGGCTGTCGCCTGGAAGATCGAGGAGCTGAGTGACGAGTTCACAAGCGTCAAGTTCTACCGAGTCGACGTCAGAAAGCACGTCATGCTCTCCAGAGCCCTTTCCAGCACAGAATTGCCCATCGTTGTCTTTGTCAAGAACGGCACAGACGTTTTGACACTAGCCTCAGATGTTTCCCTTCCAAGAATTCGGGAAGGCCAGCGCTGTTCTCAATCTACATGGGTCCGCAGGTTCTAGTCATCCTGCTTTATATTCTCTTGGTCTCTATCTGCCATATATCATAGGTGTCGTGTTTGGATATCTCTACTTTTCACCACGATCACCGCCGTATACCGGGATACGTACTACTTCAGCGAGGGCTCTTCTGGTCTTGTCTACATTGGAGTTGGCGTGGGTGCTCTCATTGATATGTTCGCATTGGTGCCCTTGCTGATAGCATCTTACCCCGTCTCACAGCAAAGAACAATGGGATATCTGAGCCTGAGTTTCGACTTCGCCCACTAATCCCTGGAAGTCTGCTGCTCCCCATCGGCTTTTGCTGGTATGGATGGTCAGCCGACAAGCATCTGCATTGGATGATGCCGGTTGTCGGTATTGGCTGGATAGGCTGCCGCATGACCGCGACTATTCTCCCCATTCAGGTGTACTTAATTGATGCATACCGTGAGTATGCCGCGTCACCTATAGCAGACATCACTGAAGCCATCCGAACGGGTCTGCGGTTTAGAGTTTGGCTTTGATTCTATTTCCTTGTTTAGCATCTGCGATATCATGATATACCTTCCGACACCCCCTTCTTTTTTTCTTTTATCTGTTACACCACCCGTTTCCTCGAGTCAATATGTGGGATGGCGCGAGAATATACCCCGCTATGTGTTACAAGTTTGATGATTTTATGATCAATGTTGAATATGAATTATCAATCTGTGTAGGTTGAGACAGTAATGTTACCTATGATTCAACAGTATGGCTTCTGTTGTCTTTGTCTTGAGCCTGCACTTCCGGTGATCAAGCCTGATTCTTATCCATGTAAAGTAAGAGAGCTGTACGACCACCTATATACTGGGCCTAATGGGGTCTGACATGAGATGAAGCGGCACCAAGAGAGTCGGTGGCATTAGTAGTGTAAACAAGCGCATGGAATTATATATAGCCTATCTTCCTTCCCTGGCGCACCAATGGACCCGTCTTTAGTGAACTAAGTTCTGGCTGTATTTCTTGCGGAGTATCACTGCTCCCAGAAGCCTCTATTGCCCATACTGAAGTAGATCTACTGCCTGAATCAAATAAAGGTTACGATCATCAGCCATCATGACCAAGGTCTCTATCATCCTCACACTTTTCAACCTCGTTTCCTCCATCCTGGCATTCTGCTACACCCAGTCCCCTTTATACCCACCTCTATCTTACAACTGTCAGTCCTTCGAGGTATGGGACACTCTCAGCGAAGTAGAAGCATCGCTCTCGGATTTAGTCCGCAATTCCAACAACCTCAATACAACATCCTATTCAATTGAAATCACCTCATCGCAGTCCACCTTATGGTCGATGTTCCATACCGCAAAGGACAAAAATCTCACACGACCTGGAGTTAAGAGAGTTGACAAGAACAGCCGCTATCGTATCGCAAGTATCACCAAGGTCTTCACCGTCCTGGGGTTACTCCAACAGCATGCTGCGGGGAACCTGTCCCTCGAGGACACGGTGGACAAATACATCCCTCAACTTCGCAGCTCGCATCACCACAGAACTCCTAGTATCCAGTGGGACCAAATAACACTCCGATCCCTGGCAAGCCAATTCTCTGGTATCCCCCGCGACTGGGTCCCGGACCCCGACGTCGTCCACACAACTACAGAATGCGATCTTAAGCCCTGCACGGCAGAGGAATTAATCGACAACTTAACAAGAAGGTCTGCCTTGTTTCCCCCGAACACGAAGTCGGCGTATTCAAACCTTGCATTCGACCTCCTCGGGCTCGTATTAGTGAACGTCACCGGCACCACATACGAAGAATATATAACAACCTCGATCTTCGATCGCCTGGGAATGTCTCAGACATCCTTCGTCAAACCACCGGACAAAGTGTCCGTGCTTCCCAAAGGCAATGCATCGTTTTTCGACGTCAACTTGGGCGTGCAGAATCCCGCCGGCGGATTATACTCTTCTTCGAACGACATGTCAACTTTTCTCCGCTATGTCCTCGCCAACTTCACAGACATTGCGGATGGAAAGCTGAATTGGCTTCTACCTGTATCCTTCACAGCTGGGATGGGGAGTTTCTACGGCATGCCGTGGGAGGTTTACCGCACCGACAGAATCCTCCTCCTGGACGATAAGCGGAGGACCAGGACAGTGACCTTCTTCACCAAAGGCGGTGGTCTCCCCGGGTACAGAACTCTCATCCTCCTCGTGCCGGAATTCGATCTGGGTATCACGATTTTCACCGCCGGAAGCGACACATTCCTCGATGTAGTACAGGAAATTCTCACCGTTCCACTGATTCGGGCGGCTGATGAGTTTGCTGCTCGGCAGGTTAAGGAAACATATGTGGGGAGATACACTTCCCCATCTACCAACTCTTCGTTAACACTGATCTACACATCAACCCATGGCCTCGAGATCAGCGAGTGGATTTCAAATTCTACAGATGTGCTGAGCATCATATTCAACCAATTTCAATACCTGGGGAACGCACAATTACACGCTCAGTTGATTCCATCCGGTCTCTACAGAGACGAGGAGGAGCAAGTAGGAGAGATATGGAGGATTGCAGTCGTGATGGATCCGAGGGCGCCCCCGGATCCAGTTTTAGGGCGATCGAGCGAACACAAGACTAACGCTGGCTTATGGTCAGGTTCCACCCGCGTTTGGGATGAATTCTGTATTACTGATGTGGATAATATAATGTATGAGGGAAGACCCTTGAGCGAGGTTGTCTTTTGGGACAGGGACGAGGAGACTGGCATGTTTGAAAAGGTGGAATTGACCGCCTTGAGGATCAATTTGACTCGTGCGGACCAGATGGAAGAGGGAGGGATAATGGAGGGACATCTGATCAAGCAGGAACTTTGAGCCAGTGGCAAAAACTGTGGCATATCTTTCGGTGAATGCATTCTTGGCCGGGACTATTACCTTGGAGACAGTGAGATTTCATCACACGTTAGCTCAATTGGTTTTCCAAGTATATGACAAGCCCTTTGATCCCAACAATGGGGCGAGTGCCTCTTTGCAGGCGATCAATCGCCACATTATCTTCATTCACTGTCCTTTAGTTCGCTGCAGGATCCTACTTCCGTGGCTCCTCAAATCGAGAGCTCAGTTTCACGCCGTTTGCCTCCTTTTCCGTAAAGTCCAAAACATCCAACCACATTGTAAATGAGCGAAATCAACAGTTACAGCAGCTTCACATGCCGCCCATCACTGTGTCCGACATGATAGTATCCTCAACTTGACCACCGCGAAATGGAACGCCAAATTCTTCATAATGAACCGATAGAGGAGTTTAGTACCCTTTCTGAGACGTCCCGTAGTGGTGGAACTGTCGAACAAGCCGTTGCGAGGGCGAACGGAGGGTTACACAATCGTTGCTCCTGGTGACACAGCAGGACTTTTCAGTCAGCCGGCAGATAATCTGTCAACTCCTACGTTGCATTGTCGTTGATATGCTGTCCACTCATCGGCAGAGTTTCCTCCGTTGACGCGGCGCCGCGCGGCTGCACTTATGCTAAATGGTTTTGCATACTCATCCATAGTAATCATGGTACGAAATACTGCCACTTTGGGTTCATTTGTCTATTGATCGGTCATACAAATCACTGATAGTCATTCACCTGAGATCGATAGACTCTTCAGCTTGCAGCCAATGGTCGAGAATATCTACGATAATCTCGTAGAAGCCTACTGCCAAACGGAATCCGACAAAACCTTCATATTCAGTCTGCTCGGGCAACTTGTTGCTCAGCCTTTTGTGGACGGAAGTCCTGAGTACATATGATGATCCCCTCTTGGGCCCCGCACAATTCAATGTGGATTAAAAAGAGCGTGATTCCTAACAGTATTTGAAAACACAGTCGAGTATTCCCTATCATGTAGCTGTATTCGGTGGACGCATGCTATCTGTATCCTCTCGCCGTTTTCGCTTAAGGAAGCAATTGATGCCTGAAGCAGCAATGGGTCTTGTCTTTCTCACAGTGGTAATTCCGTCCTATACCAAATACTCGAGAAGTCCCTTCATTAGATCTTGAAATGGCCTGGTATGACCTTTGTGTTAGTCATGTTCATTCTGCAGAGAATTTGAGACAATGTGTTATAGTGAAGGTGGTGACTATAGTGAGAAGACAGGCTGAATATTAATACTCGTATAGTATTATTGAACTCAAAGATAACATGAATGGGCTATTCCTTTAGGGAGAGTACTTACTGAATAAGCAATGGCTTTTCTAGAATATTCTGCATCAAAGGCTACAGTGACTAGGCTATTGGACTGGCTAACAATGAAGAGATGTGGTGACACTGATTGGCCCTGTAGTTGAAAGGCAATTGAAACCTTGATGATTCCATCAACACTTCTAAAAGGATGGCAATGAACAATTGCAGCTATATAAAACAATAAGAATGCAGTTTGCTCTTTGTTGATAACTGCTTTGGGACTAGTGCGGCTAAGACACCTTTGAAGGGAGGGAACACGGTGAGCGTTGGCTCGTCGCGCTCCCAAGGGTTCCGGAGGATGCGGATGTCAGCTCCACGCCGGACGCGAGACAGGCTGGTGTAGAGCTGGCCATGTGCGAATACTGGCATGGTGAGGTCAACCACGACGCGGTCCAGCGTCAGACCCTGGCAACTGGCGACGCTGGACAGTCCAATTGGCACGATGCGGTCGGAATTCAAAGGTGATGCGAGGGAGGCAGAAGATCTGCATCTCCTCATCAGTAGCTTGAGAGGTCAGTAGCTGATTATGTTGCAGGAGGCGCACCTGGACGACATTAGCAAGTAAGTTCACCACCTGCACCCTCACATTCTTGACCAGGCCCTTTTCAATGGAGAGATTGCCCCTGATGCTCGCGACACAGCCGACTTTAAGAGAGAGGTTATGTGGTGGGACGCCAGGCTCATGTAACATGGTGAGAAGATCAGCTTCTGCACCGGTCGGTAGGTGGAAGCTGGACTCGTCCATTTCCTTAATTGTGTCATGACTGTAGTAAGCGGCTTCCTTGTAGTTAGTATGCTGAGCAGACGGCAGCAGAGGGGAAGGACTTACTGGAAGACCCTGACAGGGAGTCCAGCTACAGTTGGTTGAAGATATCTACCCGCGCGTTGAAGGGGCTCAGGAATGCTCGGCGGACAGCGTCAGGGGAGGTAGCAAGGGAGTCGTCAAGGAATAGGAATCTAGCAGCACCATCCATGTTTTCAAGATGCCGCAGATGCCGCACTGGCACAGGGGCCTCGAATGGCAGCACCACATCACCGACCTGGTCCACCCAGGTGGCGTAAGCCACATCCCCCGCATACCGGATCGGAATTGTCAGACGCAGGATGTCGAAGTGGTCCCAGAGATATGAGGAGCGAACAGAGTGGTTCAGCGTGGCAGATGGGCGACAGCTACCACGGACCACTGGTGCCACTTGGCGGAAGTCACCCAGTGCAATGAAGGTCTTTCCACCAAAGGGAAGCTGATTGATATCTTGGAGGAGCTGGTTTGCACACTCCAGCACGGCCATTTCCGCGATTGGTAGCTCTTCCCAGATGATCAGTTGCGCATGACGGATCAATTCTGCACGCGCACGATACAGACTAATCTTCGACTCCAAACCCTCATCACTGTCCTGCACAGGGATACCAAAGGCAGAGTGGGCGGTCCTACCGCGCTCGTAATGGATGACACTGAGCGCAGTCGTGCCTGTGACACAGACAATACCACAATCAGCACGGACCCGGTCACAGAGGGCAGCCATCAGAAAGGTCTTGCCCCGCCCAGCGCGGCCGTCGACAAAGAAGCAGGCTGCACCATGTGGATCCTGCTGGCGCAGGATACGCTCAAAGATCCACCGCTGGTCAGCATTCATCCTTGTACGGGCCGCGTCAGCACGGGCACGGAGCACTGCCCAGTGTGGATGGAAGAAGTTGAGCTCCAGGTCCACCTCAGAGCCATAGTGGTGGCGTTGTGGCTCCGGTAAGCCGCATTGGGCCAGGGAAGAACCTTGGGAGGAGAGGTGGCGCGCTATATCCTCCAGAGCCAGATTAGTGGCGTCATCCGATGGTGATGGAGCCCGTAGTCTGCGCAGAGGTCACGCTGGAACCGTGTCCAAAGCTGCATTGCGGGGAATGGAAGGTCCAGGAGAAGATACGCAAAGAGGAAGCGGAGCTGCGAGGGGCGGCTATACGCAGCGATGGCCTCACTAATGGCGTATTCAGCCTCGCTGACATCCCGGAGCAGGCCCAGAGCGGTAGCCGCTTCATGATAGGTTGCGTAGCAATGGTCGTGGACAGTACGGAGGTCCTGAAAGCTTGACGCGGGGCGCACCTGTAGCAGCGCTCGCAGGTAAAACTGCTCCTTGTAGTGCAGTGGGATGACCTGTATCCGGGTGACAATATCCCCAGCTGCACGTCGCCGTACCACCTTCTGCCGCAGCCCTTGGTTTGTCTCCACCTCGGTGATCAGGACCTGGCCTCTATCAAGTGGGTCGTCTAATGGCAAGGTCTCAAAGTAGTAGCGGCTGAAGAATTCCATATATGTCAGCTGCTGGAACAGCTCTGTAGGCGGACGCTGGAAGTACCATAACAGATCACTCATCGTGGAGAATCCCGGCGCAGTTGGACGGCGCATCCTGGCGAGGTTACGTCCTTCCAGATGGACTGGGAGGCAGCGGACACTCGGATTCTTATGCACAGTTTCAAAGTTGAAGATACGGTACACTGCCTCAGAGGCAGACAGATAACGCGCGCTCATATAATCCTTATACTCATTGACAATGTCTTCTTCATCCCCAGCGTCCACCATGTTGTGAAGGCTGAATCTGGTGCGATCAGGGCCCTTGAAGAGGTATTTAAATAGATAGAGGAAGATAACCGCCGTGGAGCAGACGTCAACATAGATATGGCAGTCGAGAAGCTTCAGCAGCGCGGGTATATGTGGTGTAACCCAGCAGCTGTCGGCGTTCCGTCGACGGTAGTGCACGCGTCCCAGGTCGTCCAGGTGCGTGTGGGGTGTGATAGGCTGCGGGTAGCCGTAAATACATCGGCCGTTGCGGTTACAGCGCGACCCTGGACGGGCCAGGTGGTTCTGTGAGTGCATGTGGAAGCGCCTTACCTGACGGTAGAGATCTGGTTCCTGCTCTGCATCCGGCAGCTCTGCGGAAATGAAGATATCGAGCGCTGACAGCGGCGGCTCCTGCTTGAACTTCACCCACAATGTGGGCGTGTGGCAGGCCTCACTTCTGGAACTCAACGACGCTGATCTCATAGACCAGCTCCCCGAATCACTTACGCAGGAAGGCCTTCAGGATCCCCAACCGAGCTCGAAAGGCGCGGCAGACGACAGCTGGGATATCAGTAACATCCTGGCCAGGTAGGAGTTGCGACTGGATCTCCGACCATTGCGGGTTAGTCGTCATGGTTAACCAGATTGATGGCTTTCCCAGCTTCCTAGCAATTGCCAGTGAGTCTGTCACCTGGTCAGAGGCCCAGGCGCGAGAGCCCATGAAGCTCGCCGGAATCTTGTTCTGGAAGAGGTCAGGGATTAAAGGGTCAGCGGCCTCATCCATTGATGTAGCGTGGACACGGCGCCCCCGTTGCAGGTAGCGTAATCGCTCCTCCCCCGTCCGCGAGAACATATCAACGGCGTACTCGCAGGCCAGGCGGCCGAGGACCTGGAAGCGCCGATCGGAAAGGAAGAGGTGGCGGTACCACTGGATCTGCGTGCAAGGCATGGCCTTCTGGAAGTTATCAATATAGCCCCAGCCGCGTGTACCATGGGGAAAGAGCAGCGGATACTGCAGCGGCTCATACTGACAGGACAAAATGGGGACGAACCGCGGTTGCAGACCTCCTCGGCCGAAGAAGACCACCTGGCGAGGGTTCACGTGACGGAGACTGTCCGTGTTGATAACGGCAGCGATCTCACCACCTGTCGGTGGCACTGACAATTCCACTGCCAGTGGCATGGCCTCATCACTCACCTGGGTCAAGGCATGGCGCAGAGTGCGAACGTACGGACTCGCTCGGTCCAGGAACTGGCGTACAGTGTTCACAGCGTCCTCCGGCAGTGACTGCTCCCGGGCACGCTCAGCGCGTGCCGCCTCATCGTACAGGAACCAGTGCATGCTATGACCTTTATCAGTGATGTCCAGCGAGCGGTGGTAGACGCGACCCTCGAGGACGACATTTGCGAGTCCCTGAAACGGCACGAAGCGACCAGTGGTCCCAATCACGGAGAAGGCAAAGAGGTTGTTGAGTTGACGACTCATGCGTGAGATGCGACCTTGATACTGTAATGAAAAAGGCGTCGATATAGTGCTTTGTGGGTTACCTACCCCGCTAATGGCGCCTATCTTGGTACCTCGGCTATCAGGCACCAACCACTCTCCAGTGTGTATATAGCATACAGTTCTCTACCTAGTTTCCTAGTTCTACTTACTAGCGAAAGTCCATTCCCTTGGAGTCAACTCTCACTTCGTTCATTTGCTTATTATGGAATCTTAACAGATACCGCTCCAGAAAGGGGTGTAGGAGGTCATCACAGGCGGGTAGGCGCGGCAAACGTTTACGCCCCTGGCCGCAGCACCATCCATCTTCCTCTGTAGACAGGAGGGCGGTACTACAGAAGGAGCAGATCCTCGACCACCCTTGCGAGAAGGGGGTCACGACCATCGCCGCCAGCCGATCCCACCAGGGGAGGGTCGGCCTGGGAATCGCGCGGGATAAGAGTCCCCTGACAGCAGCGGCCCTAGCACGACACTGATAACATAGCTGCTGTGCAGCCGCTGCTGACAGCCAGGATTGGTCACACTGAGAGCAAATAGCCTGGTGGACCGACTCAATTAGTGGTAGCTGTGGCAGCTCGACAGCGTCTGCGACGGGAAGGACACCAGGCAGGCGCGCAGTCTCCGGTCGAGGCGGGGCCAGTTGAGTGTCCGGCAGCTGAAGGTTCAGTGAACGTTGAGGCTGGACGGGCTCTGCCAGAGGCGTAGCCTGTAGCGGCGGGAGCACGGGGAGCAGCAGACATGGACGCTGGACTGGTGCAGGAGCAACAGGGGCAGCAGGGGCAGTACGGCGACGCCGGCGGCGGCAGGCGTCACAGGTCCTATACCAAGCATGATCCCATGGCCGCAGGCAGCGCGAGCAGGTGGGTAGACGGGGATGGGAAGTCGCATCGGACATGTAGTGTAGCTTCACGAAGCCATCGAGGCTTGATGGAAGGGATCGTACGGAAGATCAAGGACTGACCGACAACCATCAGCGGGTTATATATTCGCGTACGCATCGTCGCAAACTGTACGTGGTGGAGAGGGCGCGCACAAGCCACGGACATGTGCTTCAGATGGCATCTATGTAAAAGGCGTGTTCTTGGTCGCTAGTCCGCAATACATTTGAATTATATCTCGATAGTCACGTTCTTCCCGAACACTCCGAACAGGCCTGGGGAGCTGGTTCCCGTGAGGTACCGTACCGGGGTTCGATGGGAGATTAGTGACAGTATGTTACAATGGCTCATTGGACGATGAAATCCAGACACATTCTGAGACACGGTACGGCTACACATGAGTCGTTTATAGCTGTCTGTCTAGGCTGTGTGGCAACGGACTTCAATACCTACAGGGCAAGGGACAGTGGAGGATGGAGCGAAGAATGTTGTGCGATTGGCGTCTCGGAAACATGGATAGTGAGAAAGGGAAAAGACAAACCGAGGATAAAGAAGAGGCAGCATACATTCTAGAAGTGTTGCGGTCTGGAGAGCGTGTGCTCTACCTCCAAGGAATCCTCAAATTCGAAGCCAGTCACTGCCAGCTTGGAACATATGCCGAGGAGACGGACTCGCGAGCAGTTTATTCGTTCTTACCATCGGTTTGCTTTGAAGGGCGGAACTAATCCATATGGCGGAGGTATTGATATTTATTCGGCGGAAAGTACCATCGTGCTATACGAGGCCACAGTATACGTGAGCCTATGTCGCCCCTGCCAAACGGGCCAACACCCAGTGACGTACTCAATGCAGTACAGACTGATTGCGAAAGCAGACGACAATATATCCGACCAAGAGATGACCGGTTATTCAGAGCTACATATGACCACCCCGATGGAACACGAGATTGTTCTACGTGTGACCAGAACCAGCTAGTAGACCGTGAACCCCGAGAAACCAACATGCCTGATTTCCATTACGGTTTGATTGCTTCTGGTGATCAGGTCATGAAGGATGCCAAAATTCGAGACTCTATTGCGCAAGAGTTGAATTTGCTCTGTTTCGAAATGGAAGCTGCCGGGTTCATGGATCAACTCCAGCCTCTTGTGATTCGAGGAATATGCGACTATTGCGACTCCCATAAAAACAAAAAGTGGCAAGAGTATACGGCTGTTGCTGCTGCTGCTTATGCAAAAGTGTTCATATCAAAGAATCCTTCGCCCCAATGATTAGCAGCATGATGTCTTGATCTCTGCCAGAACTGGTACAAAGGACACCACTGACCGGTGAACTAGTCGATATCAAATTGCGGGAATACTATGACATGGGCAATCGTCTGAAGATTAAGCGCCTTTCCGGAGATTTTCTGGATATGGATCAATGCTACATCAACCTTTCTATAATATAATACCAACATAAGAACCAGGATACAAAGTTGCAAGAGGAATCACCACCTTCAAGGTTCTCACTATTCAGTCGCCTGAAACTAACTGCAGATACTCCTGAAAGGGAAGTCACACTCCCAGACCTACTTCGTGACCGACAACTTCCGAATGGCCAAATGATCCAACCGAGACGGATTTTAATTCGCGGACGCGCGGGTGTTGGGAAAACAACACTCTCCAAGAAGATTGTGCATGACTTTTACCACCAACGGATGTGGGCCGCCCTTTTTGATCGCGTGATATGGATACTTTTGCGAAAGCTCAAGGGGATGTCAAGCCTGGATGAATTTTTCCGCCGGGAGTACTTTTCTTTCCAAGCCGAGCGTGATGATTTGGTTTCCAAGCTTTGGAAAACGGTTTTGAATCCAACCTATAAAAGAACTCTCTGGTTATTGGACGGCCTTGCCGAAATATCAGGATATCGCAGTATTTCCGGCACTGACTTGACTGAGGTATTCAACAGCCTATTGTATCAGGACAATGTGGTCATCACATCCCGCCCATATGCTGTGAACATGTCTGGTCTTGCTCCTTTTGACCTAGAACTAGAGACTGTCGGGTTTCATCCGAGTCAGGTGCGGGCTTATTGGCCAAAACTATGAAGGATTCAGATATTATCGATCAAATTCATTCATTTATTCGGAGCCACTGGCTAATCCAGGGACTTGTTCGGATACCAATCCAGCTTGATGCATTGTGCTATAGTTGGAATAAGAACAACTTCCATTCTGATGCTTCACCACAAACCATGACAGAATATATTGTATGCACTCTGTAGGACTCAACTAGCCGTGTAAGCTATCCTGTTCCAGTGAGAATACCTCAAGGGCCGAAAGTGAGAAGAGTAAGTCCTTGAATATCCCGAGCCCTGAGTGTGTCCTATGCACTTCATCTATTGCTCATCTAGCACGATGGACCAAATCTTTCAGCTAAATTCTTGGGAGAATCAAGAGAGCTTAGCAAAAGGAACTAAGCCGTGGAGAGCGTGCCTCAAGTGGGCGTGCGGCGCTGTAGTGTGTGTGGCTGTGGCCGACAGCACGCGGGGCTAGGCGCACTTGCCATCAGCCTTGCTCTTGAACCCATAAATATATTTATGGAGTCACCAACGACTGGCAAGACAGAACACTTTTACTGCTGCCAGCCGACCAGCTCAACTCACATGCCCCAATGGCGACTCTAAGTGACCTGCCACACGAGGTGCTGACGATTATCTTTCAGGCTCTATCTCCCTCAGCGGTTATATCTACCTGTCTTGTTTCTAAACGCCTCTATGAAGCCTGCCTCCCTGTCCTCTACGCTTCGTTCAGAGCGAGCAGCAATCCAAAGCAAACTTGGAGAAGATTCCACTCATTCCTGAACATGATCGCAAGAGACCATTCTCTTGGTCGACGCGTCAAATCAGTTCTTATCAATGACATCAGCGATGATGATATTGCAGCCTTACGCAATTCAATTATTCCGTTGCTATCTCAGGCATCAAACATACAACAATTTGCAATACCTGGACACCCAAATCTGCTGCCCGAGCTGAAGCGACTGCTCTCTTCAGGCGATCTTCCCCTCCAACGCCTACGAGCCTTTCAATGTGTGAACTGTGGGCCTGAGATATGGGAAATCATACCACACTTTCCGCTGTTATCTCAGCTATCTCTAAGGAATTATTCATGCGAGCTGTCTGCACTGCATCTACAGGCATCCAATCTACCTATTGAGCATATCTTGCTTGAAGGATGTAATCTTGGTTCACAAGCTATATGTGTGGTGATCAGGAGCTGCAAACGTCTAGTGAGCTTCCAATATCTTCATCCTCGGCTTCGCGAAGAGGCTTTTATAAGCATTATGCCACTCAGTGCTCCAGATATATATGAGGCTTTGCTTCTTCACAAAGATCACTTGGGAGAATTTCTTGTGCAGGATCATAACTACCGAGTATCATACGATGAGACCCCAAAGTTTGGATCTTTCAGAGACTTTCCGGCTCTTCAGAGGCTTGGTGTGGACTGTAACACACTCTCCATGAAAGCGTCTTTACCGCCGTCACTACATTCGATAGCAATCCGGCACTGCAGCTCATCTACATCCATAGATGTGCTGCTCTATCTGGCTCGCCATCCCTCAGTGGAAGCAATCCAATTCGATGATTCCGATGGGGGGACCGCTATTTTCTTCCAACAGTTGCAATCATCGGGGCGGATACGGAAGGACATCCAGGTTCATCTTGTGTCTACGTATGCTACCGCCATACAATTCGACCATCTAAGCCTGGTTACTTATCCTTTGCCCTGGATTGGCGTCCCAGAACTCAGCTAAGGATCTCCGATACCAAATTCAAAAATTTATGGGTTAGGTGTCCAGCTTATACAGTGCCCGTTAGGGTAATTACCAGTCGACCACTGCTAGCTTACGCTGCAGTGGCGGCTGTTCTTGGAATGAGGGCCGACTGCTATTGCTTGTCTAGGTCCAGTTACGTAGCACTGTTCCTCTAGTCAGCCACAGCCAGATATAGTCAGACTTCGTGCAAGCAATGAAGAAGTACTATCATTTTAAGTGACACATACGCTCAACAACAGGGGAGAGAGACGCTGAGAAGTTGAAGCTAAGGGCCGCAACGATCTTCACGCGCATGCCAACAGCAATTGGCAATTGTAGAGAAGGATAGCTGGCCAAGCTAAATGGATTAGTCGCGGCAAAATTGGGTAACTCGCCGTCAATATCCCAATCACCCTGAGACAATGAGGAAGGCGGTTGCCAATGAGCCATCGTCTCAAATCTGGCCAGTCATTTTTGTCCACATACCATGTCATCACGAGGAGTGAGCCCTCATCACCACTTGCTGACAAAGTTGGTGATGCCAAGAGCACATAACAAGCTACCGTGAACGTAAGGATGAAAGAGGCATAGCGGTAATTCTGGCTACGCGAGTAAATGCTCAAGGGCTAAACTTCTTATCACGTGATTGATCCAGAATGGTGAGTAGACCCTCGCCAAAGCCCGCCCAAGCCCATGGGTACCCGCCAAGAACCCTGTTGAAGTGAGATTAGATTGATTGATTGTTCTTCTTAAGGGATTTCTCTTTTACAGGGGCGGGATGCCTCATATATATACTGTTCCCAATCCCTGCCATAAGGTTCAGCCACCGTGATACTCGACACCATGGGCAGGTAATGGACACCCCAAACCCAGCTTGGGTTACCCATGGGCGGGCCGAAAAGTTGAGAACCCAGCCCAACCCGCGATTTGGCGAGGTCTAATGGTGAGTCCTCATCATGACAGTGCTGATAGGTGGTGATGAGCACATCAGTTAAAAAGCACAAGGGCAGCCGTACTCAGCATGGCACTCTTCTCTTGTTATACGCCGCTGCTCTCAGGAAGAAAGAATAGATGATGGGCAGGTTTCACCAGCATGTATACACGTCGAATGATACTTGCTCAATTGTCACTTTTGGCACAAAGGCTCAAGTTCACTCTACTAACAAATCCCCACTCTCAGCCGGTATCTGCCGAGGCGGCGCTGGATCAATCTAATCATAAACGCTTCGGGAGAACGTAGACTGTCCACTGGCAGATAAATTCATGATGGTTCAACTTGTCAGCAACTACTGTTCTTGAAAAGGGCACTGCTCGAGATATCAAAGGCCGTATACTATCAGTAAACAGGTAGCTATGCGTCTAGAAGCTGCATAACCCTAAATAGAACAAGCTTATCACGCCTGACAGACACAGTTTGGTGCCTAGATCGAAAAACCAAGTTCCAAGGATATATGTCGGGCTAGGATTCTCCCTTCGCTACTAGCCAACGCTGCAAAAATAACCTCAGTAATACGGGGGAATTCCGCAGCGACTGGCACAACATGATTGATGAATCGTCTTCAAAAGCCTCGCGCCTGGTTTCGAGTTGCTGGATGACGAGTTGTGCGATTTTGTCTTCTCGTAGCCGGTTTGGGTCTAACCAATCGCAGGCAATGATAGACATCCCCGGTGTGTAGACCATACCGTTCTCTCCCAGCAGACTGAAAATCATGTTAACGAACTCCAGAAAGGTTAACAGCTGCCAGCTATTCTCGGCTGTATTTTTATATTTTTGATAGATAATCCCTTGGAGATTGTTTGATAATCCCCAGGACACCACCAGGTTGTATACCGACACATGCAGCGCAAGCTCATTTCCTTCGTCTATGGTAACTGTTAGTATGACTAGGACATGGAGGAGAACAGGAACCCTAACCGGAAAGGTAAGATAAGGGACAGAACTCATTAGAGTATGTTCCGACATAGATAAGTTCCAGAATTCGCCACACCGTATTGACATTTTTAATATCAAAATGCAACTCGAGTCTGCCTGTCTCCTGGAAACTTCGACGAAATTGGCGTTGAAAATATCGGCTCTCTTCCTCCAAGATCGGAGAGTGGACCGGAATTCTGAAGCCACCTATGACAATGGATGCATCAGCACCCTCACCTGTCTCCCAGAGCCTTTGCTTATAGCACCTATCGGCGTAGGGGAATAGAAGTTCCTCTCCAGACATTCTGGTTTGTCCTACCAGGTTCTCCTAGGGTAGCAGCGTAGACGATGGTCTCACTCTATTTATCCTTCATCGGCAATGGTTTAGAAGACTATTATCATCTTACGAACGTTGCCCACAATGCGGTAGGCTGACATTGTCATTGATGTTACGTTGACCAGATGCTACTGTGGCTCCCGCATGAAACAATAACTCTAGTCAACAAGGGCAAGCAAATGGCGCATGTAAGGGTGGAGAACTAGTGGGCACACCACTTTTGAGCTTACAGAAATAACCAGGGATATGTATACCAAGGTCAATTTGATAACAACTCAGTTGAACATGCGCGCGCGAGCTTAAGTAAAACCCTAGAGTTGATCATTGGAGTAGCAGAGCGGGTTTGCTTATATATGTCAAGATTCGAGAGGATCGGCTTCTGAGCTACCGGTATATTCATAAGATGGAAATCTTTCTCTTCCCACACTCGTAAAGAGGGGTCATAGACAGCATTGACTATTGAGGCGTAATCCTTCAAATCACGTGCTACTGGAGCTATACTTTTGAACTGTGTCGTCCTTTGTGATAGCATGAGGAACGCCAATGCCCAATGTCGTCTATATTCCATCCCGTAGACTGACACTACGTTGTGTAGCAAGCAGACTATACGGTCACGATGCGCGGCTTCCAAGTAGATGCGAAACACCAGGCCGTTCTACAGTTGTGTAGTTCTAGTGCTCGTATAAATAGATGGCTATAGGGTAGAGGGGGCTCATAACGCGGATTTCTCCCTCGGAGAGAAATAACACATCTCTCAGATTGTGGGCCTGTTCGGCTGTCCGTAAAGTTTTATTTGATTCTATTTTTTCAATGTCTTGTACAGCATTCGGCCAAGTTTCACCTCGACGACCTGGTTAATTTCGATGGTTCAGGGGTGAAGGACGGGATAATAACCCCAGTAAAAGGAGAACGACATTGTGACCAGTCCAGTTTGCATCAGATAAATATACAGAATCAATGGCGATCTAACACCTCTGATGTTTCCCTCCGTCGTATATATCTGCTATGGCTTTGATCTTTAACCGTGCAATTTCGCAGAGCCAGCTTCTGGAGGCTTTGCGATAAGCCCCAGCGCTGAGACAAAAAATATACCGATGCATGAAGAGATTCACCTCGCAAAGTGTCTTGCATTTTTTGTTAGTATAGCACTGTGGGATGAGGATATAACGCACCTGACGTAGCAGCTTTTGGGCATGGGCTTGTGGAGTAGTACCTGAGGTATATGAGCATCAAAGTTCTCCACACCGTGTGTATATCCGCTTCCTCGATGGTGATCTCCCGTAACCCTGATTTGCGAAGACTTGCCTGAAAGCATGATTGTAGTATAGGACTTTCCGCTCCAAGAATCATGCTATGAACCCCAAACTTCACATTGGCCACAATGAGAGTGGCATCCACGCCCTCTTTCTTCTCCCAGAGTAGCCTGCGTTTATTCCGGATCAGACGTCTGAATAATCCAGGGGGCGGCATGGTGATAATTTTCTCTCCTTCCTTTTGGAGAGCACTCTGTTCCCCAGGGGTTGAACCGTCCTGCCCTCGATGGGCTTGCGCGCCCCCTGATTGGTCCATTGCCCTGGCTCCCCCCTCGTATCCGCCGCGCGTGCTCCCGGTGCGTGCGTGCGTGGGGATACAGCCCCCTGATATGGTGCTGCCCATGTTTCCTACCTCAGCACTCTAGATCCACGCCTTCGCCCTGATATAATCACTAATCACTAACTAATCACTTTACTGTGTGAATTAGCTTCCTAGCTTGTGTTTCAGGTCGCGTTTCCAAGGTCGCGTTTCCAAGGTTGTGTTTCCAGGTTGTGTTTCTAGGTTGTGTTTCTAGGTTGTGTATTTCTAGGTCATATTTCCAGGCCGTGTTCAGTGTTCCCAAGGTCCACCTATCCAGGTTATGTTTCTATGTCGCATACCTAATATATCCTAACTAGTAGTGATCTAGTTTCACCTCTATTCTCCTCTTACTGTATATATCCTCCTCTCCTTTTAAATGGACCTATTTCTCTACAATCCCACCTACCAGGTCTGGATCTGCACCGCACCTCGCTGCCAGTATGCCATCTCACCCCAGACCCTACTGGGCCACCTCCGCACCCGCCACCAGTCCCATCCTACTGTGGCCACGCCTGCTCTCTGTCAGGCGGTGCTGACCGAGATGCTCCAGCAGCCATGGGCAGACCTGAGCCAGGGGCCCTGCCCCCAGCCCTCCACTGGGGACCCCCCCGTGCCAGGCCTGCCAGTGTACCAGGGGCGCGGGTGCCCCCACTGCCCCTACATCTGCCGGGCCCTGGCCGGGCTTCAGGACCACCGTGCCCGGAAACATAAGGACCAGGATGGATACTGGGGCCAGGGTAAACTTTCAGCAGCTCAGGCCCAGGCCCGGGCCCAGGCCCGCCTGGCAGATCGTGTGGTTAGCTGCCAGCGGTTCTACCATGCTGGGCCAGGGAGCCATTTCTTTGAGGTGACCTGCGCTGCCCAGCCAAGCCAGCAGGCCCTGCTAGCCGCCCCCCAGACCCCTGCTGAGCGCATCTGCGCTCATATAGACCAGGCCCTGTGGGAGGCGGAGGCGGCAGCTACACTAGTAAATGGCCAGGTCCCTAGCCTAGAAGGCCACCCAACTGAGGTCTCTCCCTGGCTGGAGCTGACCCGCTGGCCAGAGTACCTACGCGGGCAGGATCTAACTGCAGTGGCCCTGCTCAGATGCCCAGCAGACCCAGTGCAGGAGCCCCTGCTTGCCCTATTCAGTGCTAGTGTCGAGCGGCTGATCTGGCAGGCCTACCAGACCATCCGGAGCGGCCAGATCAATGAATTTAACCAGGTCCAGATCAATACCTTCTTTCGCGAGCCCAGGGTCTGGAACCAGCCCATCCAGATCCACCTCCAGCTGAAGACCTATCGCCAGTACTGCCAGGTCTGGCAGCAGCTGGTCTGCTTCGCCTACCGCAGCACCAGACCCAACCAGCCCATCCAGCTGCGCCACCAGCTGAACACCACCCAGCTGGCCGCGCTGGACCAGATGGAGGAGTATGGCCAGCAGTTCCTAGCCCTGCGTGCTAAGGGGCCAGAGACCCAACTAGCATTAGAGGCATCACAAATCCTGCAGGAATCCAGGGCATCAGGGGCACCACTGCTAGCACCCCCAGCACCCCCAGCACCCCCAGCGCCCCGGGGACCAGCCGAACCCCTAGGGCCCCTAGCACTACCAGCGCCCCCATCACTATCCCCCCCAGAGGAAAAGGCACAGAACTAGCTGGACCAGGCCTGTCTCACCCTCTCTATTGCCCTCCTGGACCATACCCTGAAGGGGGATCTCTTTGAAAGCACCCTGATGGCCTTCCTTACAGTGCTAGGGGTGGACCCTGCATGCCAGACCTTCCGGGAGCCCTACAGCTATACCAGTTACCTCTCCAGACTGGTCAAGATGGCCCAGATGCTGGTGGCCCTGCAGGCAGTCCACCTAACTAGGGCTGGTGTGGTCAGCCACCCTGCAGATGCCCTGGATGAGATGCGCGAGCGCTTCCTGCTGTATGGGGTATGTGCCCCCTTTGGCTGGATCACACGGCTGCGCACCTACGGGAAGAAGATCCAGAATAGCACCACCAGCCTAGGCTATATCTACTGGAGTGATGATGAGCAGACCCTCAGCTATAAAGACCTGCGGCTCAGCATGCGGGGGCTATGCCAGTTCATTGCCAGCCAGGTGCAACTAGCCCAGGCAGACCTGGCACAGCTCTTCCTCCTCCATGAGGAGGAGATAAGGGAGGAGATAGTGCCCCAGCTAGCCCTACATAAGCTGCAGGATGACCCCACGAAGAACCAGCGGGGCTGGAACTTCCTGCAGGACCAGCAGACCCGGGCTGCCCTGCCTACCATAGGGGAACAGTGGCTGCTTGATCGTGTGCTAGGGACTGACTGGCTCCAGGAGGAGTTCCTGCAGCTACACCAGATTGGCCAGCAGGACCAGGTGCTCTGGCAGGCAGGGGCAGTAGACCAGTACCTACAGCAGGTAAAAGTATTCCTAGAGCACCTGCTTCTGCTAGTCCATATGACTGGGGGGCAGCCAGCCCAGGCCACAGAGCTACTCAGCCTGCGCCATAGCAATACCCTCCATGGCCGCCACCGCAATATATTTATTGAGCACGGGCTCGTGAGCACCGTCACCACCTACCATAAGGGGTATTCTATTAATAACACCACCAAGATCATCCACCGGTATCTGCCAAAGGCCGTTAGTGAGCTAGTAGTCTACTACCTATGGCTTATCCTGCCCTTCTGCCAGGCCCTGCAGAAGCTGGTCTATGGGCAGAAGGGCCCGGCCTCTGCCTTCCTATGGCCGGCGGGGGAGGGGAGCTGGGATAGCAGCCAGCTGCGCAAGGTCCTCCAGCGTGAGGCACAGACCCATCTACAGACCAAGATGAATATCCTGTCCTACCGGCACGCAGCTATTGCCATCTCCCGCGTACACCTGAAATGTGGGGGGTTTAAGCGGGACTATGGGGCAGATGATGCAGCCTTTAATGAGCAGGCTAGCCATGGGTCCTGGATTGCAGGCACTGTATATGCGCGGGGGCTACAGGAGGCACCAGGCCATGTAGAGGCACGACGGCGCCAATACCAGGCCATTAGTCGCGAATGGCATGGGTTCCTGGGGTTTGAGACCTACCTAGGGCCCCGTAAACAGCCGGCGCAGGATGACCTTAGGGTAGGGCAGCCAAAGCAGCAGTGTATCATGGTGGAGATGGATTATAATTAGGCCCTAGGGATAGAGGGAAGTATTTATTTTAATACAGTATATATATATATATATAAAGGTCTCAATGGCATGATATTCAGCATGATAGTAGTGCCATCCTAATACCTCAAGCATTCGATAAGCCACTGCCTATATTACCATCTCATTCTAATGGCCTGCTCTGCCAGCAAGATCCTTATTACTTATTCATTACCTCTACCATGGAATCTATGCGTAAGCATTGGCGAACTATTCATGAGTGGTCCCAGCAGACCCATCGCGGGCGGGCAGGCCTAAAGGAGAAGGCTAGGGGTGAGGCAGAGCTACAGCAGTCATTCCAATATGTCTCATGGCAGCAGGTGTTCCCTAGTGGTCCAGGGTCACACTATATCCATATTCGCTATCCAGATAGGCAGCCACCCGCCCCATCCACCGACCATATCCAGACTGCAGTGGATGAGGTGGTACAGGCCTGGGAGCAGGCGCAGGCCCGGGCTAAGGCCGATCAGGCCATCCAGGCCAGCCAGTTGACGGACGCGAACCCCTGGCTGCGCATGACTCGGTGGGCCGATTACCTGCAGGGCATCCAGGCCCATGACCTGCTAGCCTGCGTGGCGGCCCCGGAGGAAGACCCCACAGATGCTATAGAGCAGGCAGTGCAGGTGATCTATCCCACAGGGGGGCGGCGACTGTACTTGACACCGATATAGGGTTTAGCCCAGAGTGGTTTAGCGGCAGCGGTAACAGGGTAGGGACCGATTTTTGAACTGGGAGGTATAGTTGTAGCACCAGATAGAGTCATGCGCATTTCAAATTTCAGCAGGTTACTGGTTGGCTATCCCACAGGGGGCGGCGACTGTACTTGACACTGAGCTAGGGTTTAGCCCAGAGCGGTTTAGCAGCTGGGGTATGGGGGTAGGGACCAACAAAACCGTCTGGGGTACAATCGTCGCGCCAGATAGAGTTGTATGCATTTCAAATTTTGGCAGGTTACTGGTTAGCTGGTTTCACATAATCTGACCAAATTTCAATGGGGAATTCGATGATTTGCAGCTGTAGTAAGGGTGTGGTTAATGTACAGAATTTTGATGTGGTTTGAGTTGCCGCCAAACAGTGAGAATCTGGAAAGCACTGCCCATGACCACCACCATGGCTCCAGGGGAGGTTGGAGGCAGTTTAAATTTAGCCAGCTCACTGATATACTAGTTCTAAGTAATCCAGCCAAATTTCAGTATCAAAATCAATGATTTACAGACATGGTGAGGGCATATTTGACCCCCAGGATTTGGTGTGGTTTGAGTTCCTGCGGATAGAAAAAGCAATGCCCACAAATCAAACATTCAGGGGCTGAATCCCATCATCATTCAGATAATCAGTTAAATAGTATTATATTCATCTAAATAAGCCATTAAGAATGGAACAGCAGTTATTTATTAAGCTTTCCCAGCCACCAGTCATTATCTGCCGGACCTGCCGCCATGGGGTGTGGCCAGCTGAGGTAGAAAGCCATCTCCAGGGGAAGGCCCATTAATTACCCCAGGCCACTGCAAAGCAGATCCATCAGGACGTCCAGAGCTAGGAGGGTGTAGAGCATGACCCCCATGCTGTGCAATGGCCTAGTCGGATTACCCAGTCAATCCCCCACCTGGATGAATACCCTGATGGGTTACTATGCCAGCGCGACCAGGCCAGATGCCAATTCATCACTCGTTCACTCAACACGTTAAAACGACATTGGCGTGAGCACCATGGATGGACCGCACCATATCATGGAGGTCGATCATGCCTGCAAGAGCAGGAACAGGCGCAGATCACCATCCAGCAGGGATATCAGGTGGTGACCTGCCAGCGGTTTTTCCCATCCCGAAAAGGGTCCCATTATATTTGGGTGCCATGCCCTAACCAGCAGCCTGAGGAGCAAGCCCGGACCGCACCCACTGCCCACATCCAGGCCACTGTTGATGCCATGATCCAGGCATGGGAGCAGGTCCAGGCCCAGGCCAAGGCCGATCAGGCCATCCAAGCCAGCCAGTTGACTGACGCGAACCCCTGGCTGCGGATGACTCAGTGGGCTGACTACCTGCAGGGCATCCAGGCACGTGACCTGCTTGCTAGCATGGCAGCCCCAGAGGAAGACCCCATGGATGCCACTGAGCAGGGGGTGCAGGTGATCTGGGATACTATGGAGCAGGTGGCCCGCAAGAGCCAGCAGATGGTCCAGCATTGCGGCCAGGCCATCCGGGTGGAAGCCATCCGGTCCGAAAAGGGGCAGACCCCGCACCGGCCGCTGCTGGCATATATGGATGAGGCCGCGATCAAGAAGCATGTGCAGCCATGGCAGCAGATATTAGCATTTATTGCCCGGACCCAGGCCCCGCATGACTGGACCAGCCCCCGATATGGGATGACCGCACGGCAGCGCCAGAAATGGCGGCAGCTATGGCAGCTCGCTAGCCAGGCCCCAGGCAGCCAGGGCAGCCAGGCCGCAGTGCCAGGGGACCTAGAGGCATGGGCCATGACTGCTATAGAAAAAGCATGCTTAGAATTTTGCATTGAGCTGCTCAACCAGCGCCATCGCAGCCATGAATATGAGAGTGCATTAGTATGCGCCATGGCTGTGCTGGGCCAGGGTGAGGCCGGCTGGCGCGACCCCGAGAGCTACCCCCCAATATTATCCCGCGTGATCAAGGTGGCCCGATTCATGGTGGTGCAGAAGGCATTATGGATGGACCCCAATCCATGGCAGATCATTCAGACCTGGGCGCGGAAGGACCAGAGCGCAGAATGGGTGCTGGCCAGCGCAGATGATCAACTCAGGGAGATTGATGAGGGATATGGCAGCAATGACCCCCCATCCACCCCAGGGGCCCCATCATCGCCCCCGTCATCCATCCATAGTGATGACCCATTGCCCGCGGTCCACATTCGCCCGAGCCGCCGGCCATTCCAGGAGCAGGTGACATGGATGATGCACCAGTTTATGATCTGTGGGACCCACGGCCCCATGGAGACATTGCTGGACTGGCACACATATGGATTAAAGGTCCATTATAATCATACGGCCCCCGGCCATGTGACATGGATGGGGGAGGACCAACTGTTATACCAGCAGATGGCATTCACCATGGGGGATTTTCAGGGGTTCATCCATGGGTTAGTCACGGCGGCGCGGGAGATACTAGGCTAGTTATGCATGCAGGACCATGCGCAGATGCCCCCCATTCCATGGACGGCATTATATGACGATCCCAGCCAGAGCCAGGCTGGGTGGAACTTTTTGCACGACGCACGGACCCAGTGGCCGGTGGATGGGACCCACTGGATGATCGACCGGCTGCGGGCCGAGCCGGCCATGCAGCGGCATTTCCTGCAGGGGGGCCGATTCCACCCTGGTGCCATCCAGCAGTATTGGCAGCGCGTGGCCCAGTTCAAGGAGAAATTGGCCGTTATAGTGCATGTGACAGCAGGGCAGCCAGCCCAGGCCCCAGAGCTATTAAGCATTCAGCATTGCAACACTGCGAATAGTCAACAGCGGAATATATATATTGAGGATGGCATGGTGATGTTTGTGACGGCATATCATAAGGGGTTCCATACTAGTAATGATGTGAAGATCATCCATCGATATGTGCCGCGGGAGGTCGGGGAGTTGGTGGTATGGTATATCTGGCTGGTGATGCCATTTGTCGACCAGTTGGCTGCATGGCAGGCCGCGCAGGTCCCGCAGGGGAGCCAGGCCGCGCAGGGTAACCAGACCGCGCAGGGAAGCCGGGCTACACAGGGAAGCCAGGCCGCGCAGGGTAGCCAGACTGCGCAGGGAAGCCGGACCGCGCAGGGAAGCCAGGCTGCACAGGGAAGCCAGGCCGCGCAGGGGAGCCAGGCCGCGCAGGGTAACCAGACCGCGCAGGGAAGCCGGGCTACACAGGGAAGCCAGACCGCGCAGGGAAGCCAGGCCACGCAGGGAAGCCAGGCTACACAGGGGAGCCAGACCGCGCAGGGGAGCCAGACCGCGCAGGGAAGCCAGGCCGCGCAGGGGAGCCAGGCCGCGCAGGGAAGCCAGACCGCGCGGTGGAGCCAGGCCGCGCAGGGGAGCCATGGAGCACAAGGCAGCCAGGCATGGTTATGGGGCCCCGACCCCGGTACCGGCCGTGAATGGTCGTCCAAGCGGTTCCGGGAGGCGTTGAAACGGGAAACCCGCACCCAGCTAGGCACCGCCATCAATATTGCCGCATACCGGGACATCACCATTGGAATCAGCCGCCGATTTTTGCGGCCATCCACCGCGTTCCCACATAATATCCAGGAGGCCGAGCCGGCCCCAGCAGCCATGGATGCCGATACAGAGGAGGGCATGGATATTGAGCAGTGGATGGGCCATATTGCTGATTTACAGGCCGCCCATTCATCACACGTTGCTGGCATGGTGTATGGCCGGGGCATCCAGGAACAGGCTGGCAGCACCGCCCACCGGCGGGAGATGTTCCGGTTATCCAGCACCGATTGGCACCAGTTTTTAGGGTTTGGGGCCCCCACGCCATCCATACTAGGGAAGCGCAAGCGGGCCCCATGGGAGGATGAGGCGGAGATCAGTCGGATAGAACGCCGCCACCAGTTGGCCACCATGGATCTCGAGGCAGCCGCGCAGCGCATGACCGGGCGGCCCGACATGCAGTTCCGGGGGGTCCAGGACCCGGCCATGCAGGCCATCCAGCGGGGAGAGAGCCCCGTGGTCGCAGTGATGCCCACTGGCGGGGGGAAGAGCATGCTGTTCATGGTGCCCGCGTTCGCCGCCCCTGGGGGCACCACCATTGTTGTGGTGCCGCTGGTCGCATTATGAGCTGATATGACCCGGCGATGCCAGGAGCTCGGTATATCATGCGTGCCATGGGAGAGCCGGCGGCCCCCCGATGCCGCATCCATCGTGTTGGTGACGCCTGAATCCGCAGTCAGCCCCGATTTCCAGACGTTTTTGAACCGGCTGCGGTGGACCCGGCGGTTAGACTGGATCGTGATCAACGAATGCCATGTGGTGTTGAACAACCAGCGTGATTTCCGGCCCCAGATGGCCCAGCTGGGCCGGTTAGTCCAGGCCCGCACCCAGATGGTATGGTTGACCGCCACGTTGCCCCCGAGCATGGAGGTGGAATTATGCTGGCGGATGAAGTATGACCGGGCCGCCGTGACCATATACTGGGCCCGGACCAGCCGTCCGAATGTGGCATACTGGGTGTGGCGGCCCCCGATCCCCGGGGTCGGCCGGGGGCCGTATCAGTGGATTGAGAGTGAGGCCGTGGTGGCATTCATTCAGGACCGCATCCAACGGGCCGCCGGGGGCAAGGTGATCATATATGCGAATATCATTGGGCAGGTGACGGCCATGGCGCGGGTGCTGGGGTGTGAGGCATATTACAGTGAGCAGTTGGACAAGGCCGGGGTATTGGCGCGGTTCATGGGGGCCAGCCCCGTGATCGCCGCCACCAGCGCATTAGGCATGGGGGTGGACATCCCCAATATCCGCAGCATCATCCATATTAGGACCCCGCGGACGTTACTGGATTACGCGCAGGAGAGTGGCCGGGCTGGGCAGGACGGACAGCGCAGTGAGGCGATCATTATCCAGCCCGCTGGGTGGGACGCCCCAGCACCGTGGATGGAGGGGGTGGCCCCCGAGGACCAGGAGCAGGTCGCCGAGTATATGGGGGTGGTGGAAGGCATTGGGTGCCGCCGGGTGGTGTTGGATGAATATTTAGATGGGGTGGTGGATGGGTATCAGCGGCGGCATTGCCAGGATGCGGATGCCAGGGAGCAGGCATGTGATGGGTGCGATCCCGACTGGGAGGGGCCAGAGGTAGATCTGGGCGAGTCAGGCAGCATGCCAGCAAGGGACGCTGCTAGGGAGGCGCTGTTCGAGGCAGGCAGCATGACAGTGAGGGAGGCAGTGAGGGAGGCGCCATTCGAGCCAGGCAGCATGCTAGCAAGGGAGGCGCTGTTCAAGTCAGGCAGCATGCCAGCGAGGCAGGCAGCGAGGGAGGCACTGATTGAGGCAGGCAGAATGACAGTGAGGGAGGCCGCCAGGGAGGCGCCGTTTGAGGCAGGCAGCATGCTAGCGAGGGAGGCGCCGTTCGAGCCAGGCAGCATGCTAGCGAGGGAGGCGCCGTTCAAGCCAGGCAGCATGCTAGCGAGGGAGGCGCCGTTCAAGCCAGGCAGCATGCCAGCGAGGGAGGCGCCATTCAAGCCAGGCAGCATGACAGTGAGGCAGGCAGCGAGGGAGGCGCCGTTCGAGGCAGGCAGCATACCAGCAAGGGAGGCGCCGTTCGAGCCAGGCAGCCAGTTGCCATGTGAGCCCGCCAGTCCCACCCCATCCAATAATTCATTTTGCAGCCAGCCATCCATTTCCATGGCGGTATGGCACACCCAGCAGGTGCAGGCCCAGCAGTGGGCCGCCATGGATATCCAGCAGCAGCAGCATTGGACCCAGCAGGGTTTGGATGAGGAGATGGCCCAGGCCGAATGCATGCAGTGGCGGGATCAATGTTATATATGCGCTATACAGGGGGGTGATAGTGGCCATGAGTTATATGCATGTCATCAGCCCCACAGCCAGGCCGCACGGGCATGGATGATCTGTGTGCGTCGGCAGGTCCAATATGCCCCATACAGTGCGTGTTATTCGTGCGGCATGCCCCAATCCATATGCCATGGGTGGGAGCCGGGCCATGCATGTGAATACCGTGGGTTTTTGATCCCCATGGTGGCCATGATGTTATTTGGGCCATGGCAGGGCCAGATCGAGCCCGTATGGCAGCGCCGGTTGCAGGGAATAGGGGTTGACGGGCAGGATGAGGCCCAGGTGGTCCAGTTTTTAGGGCAGGCACACCCCAACCATGAGGGGCACAACCAGTTATTTACATCATTTTGTTGGTTACGGCGGTTATGTCAGGAGATTGAGGTCAATCAGCATTGGTAGATTGGTGAATGAATATATATTTTCAGATACCATAATGCGCAGAGATATATATTATAGATTTAGTTTATATAGTATATTGGCTGAATCCATGGTTTGTACACAGGCATATATATATATATAATCAGTCATTAGGGGGATATATAATATTAACCATAGTCAGGAGAGAGGTAGGTAGTAGGTCAGGAGGAGGGAGCAAGGTAGGCAGTAGGTAGGCAGTAGGTAGATAGTGAGGTAGACAGTGAGGTAGACAGTGAGGTAGACAGTGAGGTAGACAGTGAGGTAGACAGTGAGGTAGACAGTGAGGTAGATAGTAGGGTAGATAGTACAGTTAATAGTAAGGCAGGCAGTGAGACAGGCAGTAGATAGGCAGTAAGACAGGCAGTAAGACAGGCAGTATGGTAGGTAGAGAGACAGGCAGTATGGCAGGTAGAGAGATAGGTAGTGGGACAGGCAGTGAGACAGGAAGATAGGGAGGGAGGAGGGAGTGAGGTATATAGTAAGATATATAAGGAAGTTAACAGTAAGGTAGGTAGGAAGACAGGCAGGATAAGACCCAGGTGGTCCAGTTTTTAGGGCAGGCATACCCTAACCAGGAGGGGCACAGCCAGTTATTTATATCAGTTTATTAGTTATAGCAGTTATATTAGGAGATTAAGGTTAATCTATCCCACAGGGGGCGGCGACTGTACTTGACACCAAGCTAGGGTTTAGCCCAGAGCGGTTTAGCGGCCGGGGTATGGGGGTAGGGACCAACGAAACCGTCTGGGGTACAATCGTCGCGCCAGATAGAGTCGTATGCATTTCAAATTTTGGCAGGTTACTGGTTAGCTGGTTTCACATAATCTGACCAAATTTCAATTGGGAATTCGATGATTTGCAGCTGTAGTAAGGGTGTGGTTAATGTACGGAATTTTGATGTGGTTTGAGTTGCCGCCAAACAGTGAGAATCTGGAAAGCACTGCCCATGACCACCACCATGGCTCCAGGGGAGGTTGGAGGCAGTTTAAATTTAGCCAGCTCACTGATATACTAGTTCCAAGTAATCCAGCCAAATTTCAGTATCAAAATCAATGATTTGCAGACATGGTGAGGGCATATTTGACCCCCAGGAGTTGGTGTGGTTTGAGTTCCTGCGGATAGAAAAAGCAATGCCCACAAATCAAACATTCAGGGGCTGAATCCCATCATCATTCAGATAATCAGTTAAATAGTATTATATTCATCCAAATGAGCCATTAAGAATGGAACAGCAGTTATTTATTAAGCTTTCCCAGCCACCAGTCATTATCTGCCGGTCCTGCCGCCATGGGGTGTGGCTAGCTGAGGTAGAAAGCCATCTCTGGGGGAAGGCCCATCGATTACCCCAGGCCACTGCAAAGCAGATCCATCAGGACGTCCAGAGCTGGGAGGGTGTGGAGCATGACCCCCATGCTGTGCAATGGCCTAGTCGGATTACCCAGTCAATCCCCCACCTGGATGAATACCCTGATGGGTTACTGTGCCAGCGCGACCAGGCCAGATGCCAATTCATCACTCGTTCACTTGACACGTTAAAACGACATTGGCGTGAGCACCATGGATGGACTGCACCATATCATGGAGGTCGATCACGCCTGCAAGAGCAGGAACAGGCGCAGATCACCATCCAGCAGGGATATCAGGTGGTGACCTGCCAGCGGTTTTTCCCATCCCGAAAAGGGTCCCATTATATCTGGGTGCCATGCCCCAACCAGCAGCCTGAGGAGCAAGCCCGGACCGCACCCACTGCCCACATCCAGGCCACCGTTGATGCCGTGATCCAGGCATGGGAGCAGGTCCAGGCCCAGGCCAAGGCCGATCAGGCCATCCAAGCCAGCCAGTTGACTGACGCGAACCCCTGGCTGCGGATGACTCGGTGGGCTGACTACCTGCAGGGCATCCAGGCACGTGACCTGCTTGCTAGCATGGCAGCCCCGGAGGAAGACCCCATGGATGCCACTGAGCAGGGGGTGCAGGTGATCTGGGATACTATGGAGCAGGTGGCCCGCAAGAGCCAGCGGACGGTCCAGCATTGCGGCCAGGCCATCCGGGTGGAAGCCGTCCGGTCTGAAAAGGGGCAGACCCCGCACCGGCCACTGCTGGCATATATAGATGAGGCCGTGATCAAGAAGCATGTGCAGCCATGGCAGCAGATATTAGCATTTATTGCCCGGACCCAGGCCCCGCATGACTGGGCCAGCCCCCGATATGGGATGACCGCACGGCAGCGCCAGAAATGGCGGCAGCTATGGCAGCTCGCTAGCCAGGCCCCAGGCAGCCAGGGCAGCCAGGCCGCAGTGCCAGGGGACCTAGAGGCATGGGCCATGACTGCTATAGAAAAAGCATGCTTAGAATTTTGCATTGAGCTGCTCAACCAGCGCCATCGCAGCCATGAATATGAGAGTGCATTAGTATGCGCCATGGCTGTGCTGGGCCAGGGTGAGGCCGGCTGGCGCGACCCCGAGAGCTACCCCCCGATATTATCCCGCGTGATCAAGGTGGCCCGATTCATGGTGGTGCAGAAGGCATTATGGATGGACCCCAATCCATGGCAGCTCATTCAGACCTGGGCGCGGAAGGACCAGAGCGCAGAATGGGTGCTGGCCAGCGCGGATGATCAACTCGGGGAGATTGATGAGGGATATGGCAGCGATGACCCCCCATCCACCCCAGGGGCCCCATCATCGCCCCCGTCATCCATCCATAGTGATGACCCATTGCCCGCGGTCCACATTCGCCCGAGCCGCCGGCCATTCCAGGAGCAGGTGACATGGATGATGCACCAGTTTATGATCCGTGGGACCCACGGCCCCATGGAGACATTGTTGGACTGGCGCACATATGGATTAAAGGTCCATTATAATCATACGGCCCCCGGCCATGTGACATGGATGGGGGAGGACCAACTGTTATACCAGCAGATGGCATTCACCATGGGGGATTTTCGGGGGTTCATCCATGGGTTAGTCACGGCGGCGCGGGAGATACTAGGCCAGTTATGCATGCAGGACCATGCGCAGATGCCCCCCATTCCATGGACGGCATTATATGACGATCCCAGCCAGAGCCAGGCTGGGTGGAACTTTTTGCACGACGCACGGACCCAGTGGCCGGTGGATGGGACCCACTGGATGATCGACCGGCTGCGGGCCGAGCCGGCCATGCAGCGGCATTTCCTGCGGGGGGGCCGATTCCACCCTGGTGCCATCCAGCAGTATTGGCAGCGCGTGGCCCAGTTTAAGGAGAAATTAGCCGTTATGGTGCATGTGACAGCAGGGCAGCCGGCCCGGGCCCCAGAGCTATTAAGCATTCAGCATTGCAACACTGCGAATAGTCAACAGCGGAATATATATATTGAGGATGGCATGGTGACGTTTGTGACGGCATATCATAAGGGGTTCCATGCTAGTAATGATGTGAAGATCATCCATCGATATGTGCCGCGGGAGGTCGGGGAGTTGGTGGTATGGTA